TAAACCCTAAACCCTAGACCGTACCTGCGAACTGTCCGAAGCAGAGTGCAGCAGCAGCAGCAAGAGCTGGGTGTTGGTGTTGCAGCATAGGGAGAAGAAAAGGCATAAATGCTTTAAGCTTGTTTCTGAGTACGGCCTCACATCCCTCACTCATGATGCCTATAGTAGTAAGAGCAGCACGTTGCTGCAGTATCTCTTGCTGGGGTGTACGGGGACTTGTGGGGTGTATATACACCTCAAGCCGCTGCAGCAACGGCCTGCATATGTACTTGTTGGGGAGAGAGACAGCAATAGCATCGATGGTTTGGCTTGCTAGTCGGTGAGGGTTTAGCTCTTCCCCCTCCTCTTCTCCCTCCTCTATTATACTCTCGCTGCTGTCAGGCTCAGAGGAAAGACGCACCAATACATCCAGTAACTCAGGCACAAACCCACCCTTGCATAATACTGAAAAAGAAAAAAGAAAGAAAAGGAGACAGAAGGAGACAGATTGAGGAGACAGAAGGAGAAAAGAAAGAAACGGAGACAGGAGACAGAAAAAAAAAGGAGACAAAAAGGAGACAAATAAGATGAGAGACGCACCAATACATCCAGTAACTCAGGCACAAAGCCACCCTTGCATAATACTATAAAGAAAAAGAAAGAGACAGAAGAGACAGAAGGAGACAGGTTGAGGAGACAGGAGGAGAAAAGAAAGGAAAAAAGGAGAAAAAGGAGACAGAAAAAAAAAGGAGACAAAAGGAGACAGAACCGATGATAGACGCACCAATACGTCACAAAGCCACCCTTACATGAAGACAAGAAGAAAGAAAAGAAAAAGGAGACAAAAGGAGACAGATTGAGGAGATAGATTAAGGAGACAGAAGGAGACAGGAAAGGAAAAAGAGAGAGAAAGGAGACAGAAAAAAAAGGAGACAAAAGGAGACAGAAATGATGATGGACGAAACAATACATACAACAACTCAAAGAACTGAAAAAGGAGACAAAGAAAGAGACAAAAGAAAGAGACAAAAGGAGACAAAAGAAGACAAAAGGAAGAGACAAAAGGAGACAGAAGGAGACAAAAGGAGACAAAAGGAGACAATAAAGAAACAGAGAAAGGAGACAGAAAGAGAGAGGAGACAAAAAAGGAGACAAAAAAGGAGACAAAAAAGGAGACAAAAAAGGAGACAAAAGCGATGATAAATGAAGCAATACATCCAACAGCTCTTCTCCTGCTACTACTGCTACTACTACTACTGCTGCTGCTGCTGCTGCTGCTGCTGCTGCTGCTGTTGCTGCTGTTGCTGCTGCTGCTGCTGCTGCTGCTGCTGTTTGCCTCTGGGTTTTTGTTTAGCCGCCCACTGTATAGGAGACAGCGCCTGCTGCCTGAGGCCTATATCGAGAGAAGAACGATCAGCTAGAGACAAAAGAAAACGAAGAACAGACAGCAGTTCTGTCTCCGATAAAACCAAATCATTAGATAACTGAAGGAGACAAAAGGAGACAAAAGGAGACAAAAGGAGACAGTTTATAAAAGGAGACAGACAGGAGAAAAAAGCAGAAAAAAGGAGAAAAAAGGAGTAAAAAGGAGACAAAATAGAGACAAAAGAAAACGAAGAACAGACAGCAGTTCTGTCTCCGATAAAACCAAATCATTAGATAACTGAAAGAGACAAAAGGAGACAGAAGGAGACAAAAGGAGACAGTTTATAAAAGGAGACAAACAGGAGAAAAAGGCAGAAAAAAGGAGACAAAAGGAGACAAAAGGAGACAAAAGGAGACAAAATAGAGACAAAAGAAAACGAAGAACAGACAGCAGTTCTGTCTCCGATAAAACCAAATCATTAGATAACTGAAAGAAACAAAAGGAGACAAAAGGAGACAAAAGGAGACAGAAGGAGACAAAAGGAGACAGTTTATAAATATAAAGGGAGACAAAAGGAGACAAAAGGAGAAAAAAGGAGACAAAAGGAGACAGAAGGAGACAAAAGGAGACAGTTTATATAAGTATAAAGGGAGACAAAAGGGGACAGAAGGAGACAGGAGAC